AAAATTGCCTTAATATTTTTCCAGAGCACTGAAATTGTATTCACAGTTGTCAGGCTGTTAAAGGAAGTTGGTTTAAGGATACCCTGGCATAAATGAGACAAAGTTTTAAATCATTTGCCATATTAACAGTTTGATTTGATGCAGTTAGATATGCACCTGTTCAAATGGATGGACATAGCCACACCTAACTCTGCATAAATCAAACCCATGAAAAGGCTATATAATCCACAATTCTCATTTTTATAAAGTAGAACATTTTCATCACACCATACCAATAATTTAGCATGTGCCAAATTCCAAGCGTACCATTTAGGAAAAATTGTAGAATCATTCATAGTTCAAAAAGATCTATACTAATTTATTTTAATTTGAGGGAATATTTCAGCAACAGCTTAAGCTGCAGTCATTCATATCTGTCAAGTAGATCCAGTATATGCGTGTTGTTCAAAATAATCTTAAAATAAAGCACCCTATCGCCAATTTGTTTTCATAAAAATCCCATTGACCGTGAATGGGATTGCTACAGAGAGTATTGTAGATCGCAGCCAACATGAGTAGCTCCCCCACCCCCCTTTCCTTGTTGTCCTTGAAACTGTTCATCATACACTTCATTAGCTAGGAGTGCTAGCTGCTTTTATGGAATCGGCAGATGCTTTTGTTTAGAGTTGTAGCTGCATGCAGAGAGCTATTCAGCAACTGTGTATTAGGCTGACTGGGCAGCTGTTAAAAATCACTTTGTAATCTTTAGCCTGACCCTAACCTTGACATTATTTGATCATCTTCTCAATCTTATTGGACTGTGACTCATATTGTATATACCACTGTGCATCTGTGTTTGGAAGTAATGAATCTGAGAACTTCTGCTAGAAATAGGTCTGTGCTGGTAATGCTTGTGGGAAACCACAGTTGAGCATCTTCTAACAGCACTGTACCTTAGACTTGGGATGCGATTTTCCTTCGCATGAACTCCAGGTAGATGGAGTTCAACTGGAATTGCTATGAAAACACCTGGGCAGACTGTCCAAGAAGTCAGACTTATTTATCCTGAAGAAATACCAAGCAGATTATGCTATATTCAGAACTTGTGAATGAGTCAAATTTGCAACTCTTTGAAACTGCTCAGCTGTGTAAGAAATCCTGACTGCATAAAGGCTTTTGCATGTTGAGGTGAGTTTAGAGGAATTTGGAGTATACATGAAATATGAATATCGCTGTGTGTACAGATGAAAGGCTATTTAAACAGCAATGCTAACAAAGTGATGCCACTGGAGCAAAAGTTTACTTTCTGACTTCACATAAATAGCACTGATGGTCTCTGAACTAGGAAAGGAGCTGTCCAAGAAAGGCATCTTCGGGTTGTGATGGCCAGCTCAGTGAAAACAGTGTTTGGCTCCTGTGAAAAAGGCAAATTCTGTACTAGGGATGATTAGGGAAGGAATCAAAAAGAAAATGACCGATACTGTATCGGCAGTGTTGTGCACAGTTGCAAGCACCATGCCTCAAAAAGGGTATTGTATGCATAGAGAAGGTACAGATAAAGGTAGCTCTCATATGAAGAAAGGTTACAAGTTTTACCTTAGGAAAAATATGAGTGATTTAAAAAAGAAAAGTGAGTAAGGGGAAGACATGCTAGAAGTGTTTAAAATTATACATAGTGCAGAGAAAGTGGAGGGAGAGTTTTTCTTACCCTCCCATAAAACAAGAAGCCAAGATCACCTCATGAAGTCAAATGGTGGGAGATTTGGGACAGGTGAAAAAGAAAGACTTATTTGCACAGCTTATTATTAAAGTGTGAGATTTGCTAGTCCAAGACGTAGTGATGATTGATGGCTTTAAAAGAAGATTATGCAAATGTATGGAAGACAAAGTGTTAATGGCTATTAATTATGATGGCCACATGTTCCTTCCCATAAGGGAGACAGCATGCTTTCAATGGCTTTTGCACTGATGTCCTTCTTGCAGGCTTCCCATCAAGCTGCACATGCTGTCACAGAGGTCTGGACTAGAATATGATTTTAGCTTTGACTAGCACAGCTGTTATGTTCCTAAAGAAATCAGAGATAATCCCAGAGAAATACAGATCAGTTTAAACCATTGGTATCCTGTGTTAACTATTTGTAATTTACTGTGTACCCCTGGGATGGGACTGCAACCTAAGCTGGTCGGTTGTCTCTAGCCCTTGTTTTCAAGTAGCCAACACAAAGGAAATTAGTAGGGTGGCCAGGCATTCTACTTGACTGGGGGTGGACCACTATTCGTTGGGCAGTTCAGTTCAAGGTTGGTTTAAAGTCACAGAACCATAAGGAGGAACAGCCATGAGGGGCTCTGAAGTTGCCCAAGGGGGAGATGCAGCTCACCTTTCTCACTGTTCCCAGCCAAACAGCTGAGATGTGAGATAAAAGGGGTAGAAGGAGAGGAGGAGTCAGCAGTTAACTCTGAAAAGTCAAGGATAGCAAGTAAAACTGAGAACCAAACTGTCTTGGGCTGCAGGAAGCAAACACACTGCCTCCTGTGTGCTCATCTCTTCTGCTTCACATCTGCTTTGTTCGGCATGACATCCATACAGATGTTTAAATGTTGTTTAACCCTCAACAACCCAACATTCGGTCATATGACTTATGGAAGCAAAGTGAAATTAGTAAGCAGGTGGGAGAAAGTGTGCTTGCTCACTCTGCTATGGCCTTGCCAATTCATGGGTTCTTTGATCCACAAGTGGGTGTTATGTGCAAACTATGTTTGTGGAGGAAAACATGAGCTGCCAAAGACAGTGCAGTACAGAACCAACTGTCAGGGTCCAAGGCATGGCAGCCAGTTAAACACATGAACACCAGGACCCAGACACCTTAATCCCAAGTATTAACCAAAGTCCAGTCTGAATTCCAAGCCGATAGGAGATAAGCTCAAACCAGGAGTCAAGAGCCAGAAAGTCCATACAAGGAGGGGAGACCTTTGGAGCAGAAACAGGAGTTGGGATGAAGTCCACCCCCAAGGCTTCATGTAGCAACAGACAACACCACAAGAAGTCAGGAAACCTTCATTGTTAAAGCAGCTTCTAGAGGGAAGGCCCGGTTCTTATATAGCTTATCCCTCAGGACTCCCAGGTGATGCTTGTAAGGGCCTTGCTAGCTGCAGTAGTAGGCTGTGGGTCCAATCCTGCAACTACCAAGGCTGCTATTCTGGCCTTTGGCCAGAAGATGGACCTCTGAAGCTGCCTCAGATCCAGCTTGGAAAGAAGCAAGCCTGACTGCCTGGTCACCCCCATCCTGCAGCTGCACTTGGTTCCTGCATTTGGTTTTTTAAAAGGTTGTATGTGTCTAATGTCCAACTTGGTCTTTATTGATAATTGGAGTGTGAGTTCCCTCCTGAAAGCACAAGCATTCACTATTTGCCTTTGAGTAGCAAGTTCTTGTTAGGAGCTACCAAGCTCGAATGAGACTATAAAAGGGAAGGAAATAGATGACATAAGCACAAGTGACTTTTGAGTTGACATTTGGGTGGTGTGGTGGCCAAAAGCACTGTGTGACATCAGGTTTATAGGCCTGACACCCAGACACAATGTTTCAAAGGGCTTCTTCCCTTTTTTGTCTCAGTGCAAGATGATAGCACAAAAAGCATTATTTTCCCTTCACTTTAGGGAAGATAAGCCTGCTTCCTTCCTCTGATCATAGAGTGTTCTGAGACATTATGTTCCACTAGGAAATTCCTCCTGCAAGCAGGAGGCCTTCCATTTTCACAGCCAATATACTGATAGTACAAGCATTACTTATCCTGCCATGTTTGTTTTAAGAAGGATTTAGTCTTTTTGTTGCTTAGCACTATCCTCATCCAATTATTCAAAAACAGCTTGTCCAACTACCTCTTATGCTATTCATTTCAATCATTCTTGACCCAGTCTAGTTCTTATTTAATTCCTTCATTCTGGACTTCTTATTTCAAGCTGCATAATTGTTGTGCATTGTTCTGATCGGAAGGCAGGCATTCAGCAGGATCTGTGCATGTACAGGATTACATGTTGGAAAGCTTTAGAATGTTTCTTTCCCTGTTCATGGAAAGCTGCCATGCCGAGTATCCAGTGGATCACAGAGAATGGGAGCGTGTTGCATTTTAAAACTGGTCACATAATATGAATATCTTAAAAAGGGATTATTATTTGTATTCTTCTTCTCTCCACGGTTGTGCATAATGTAGCTGGGAAATTACTTGGACTCCAGGAAGCAAGACATTTAGGGGTGGTGCTGGTTCTTCTCAGAATGTAAACATTTTCCTGAAAAAGGGTTGAGCTTATACTTGAACTGTACTTTGTATATTTAGTGTTAGTCATGATTTCCTCTAGCCAAACAAATGAACAAAGGGTAAGTTAAGGGTAATATCAGAAGGTAGGATTTGAAGGGAAATCCTTAGGAAACTAAATCCAGATAATATGAGCAGCTCAAATCAAACATTGTAGTAACCTTCCATTGCTGCTTTGTTCCTAGTACCCTTTCTTTGGGTTAATTGTCAGACTTCATTGAGTTTAACAGTACACATTAATTCTTAATTTCAAGATCTTAGTTAACAGAAGATTTAATCCAGGTCTCCCTTTGCAGTCTGCCAGGTTCCCCTCCCAAATCTTCTTTAGAGGGTCTTCCAACCTTCTGGAGCAGATTTGGGAGCATGCAGGACAGGGGAAATCTGTTCCACCAGCAGTGTCCATGTCAGTGGTGGAGAGCAAAGTAAGTATCTCAGTGCACAGCCATCAGATATATTTTAGAACATGTTCACATGGTATTCAGATGTGACTATATATTAAAATGAGTTGGGATGGAAGATTCTGTGCTGAAAAAATATGAGAAATGGGGAGAGGAATAAGTGAAGAGCAGAGTGTTTCTGGATGTAGTTGAGCATCTGTAAGCTTCTAATGTCGTTACAAAAGCATTCCATTCCACCTCCAGTTCAATATTCACTACCTGGAATGTTCATTTAGAAACAACAACAATAAGACTTTCTCATTTTCATTTTAGGTATGTCAGCAGCTAAGTTGTTATTCGAATCCGGAATAAATGTTGTGGTTCTAGAGGCCCGTGACAGAGTTGGTGGACGGACTTTCACAGTCAGGGTAATTTTTTAAAAAAACCAATCCACATATTTTGTGTAAATGCATGGCATTCCAGAAGAGAGTGCTAATTCCTGAAAAAGTTCTATGTAATAATACAAATCATTTAATAATACAGAATACATATAGTACTTTTAAATCTGCACATGTAAATTGGGCATAATTCTGAGGTGGGCTTGAAAATGTAGTTTTCTGCCTTTTCTGTTGAATTAGCATCTATTAATTCTACATTTTTTCTCTTTTTACAGAACAAGCAAGTGAAATATGTAGATGTTGGTGGATCTTATATAGGACCAACCCAGAACCGAATTCTGCGACTGTCTAAAGAACTTGGCATAGAAACATATAAAGTGAATGTAGCTGAAGCCTTCATTGTGCATACAAATGTAAGAATTATGGGTTCTGTTTTCAAAAGCATTTGTTTATGCATCATGATGTGAAGGACATAGCTCTCAAACAGGGTTTTCCTGTTCATACTTGGAAAACTGAGTAGAAGTTTTCATTTTATTTCAGTCTTTTAAAAGCAAACTGAATGTGGTCATGGCATCCTGTAATTATACCCTTCGTTGCTGTTTCAAGGCAACCCCCCCCCGCCCCCAATACTCAGCCTTGACATGATACCTTCATTTCAGAAACTAAAGTGTATGCCCGTTTTGCTACTAATGGAAATGACTGGAGGTGAGGAAAGGAGCCTTTATTCACTGGGGTCAAGGTTTTTTCTGTGGTGCTTAATTTGAGATGTGTCATGTGTAATTCCAGTACCCTGCTTCAACAACAACAACAAAGCCATACAACTCTCGGCGTTCCTCAGCCAGCCCTGCTTTTAGAACCTTTTTCTTTCAAAGCATGTTTCCCCCCGCTTTTTCTTTCTCCCTCCTAGTGGTACACTCTGACTTCAGCAATGAGCAGAGTGTAACATTTCTTTGATCTTCTGGGATGTCATCAGGAACTGCGATGTGGGAGTGCTGAGCTAAGGAACACTGAAAATGGTGGGACTGGAACAGATAGGAGCATTAAAATGAGTGCTTTAGTTGAGTACTTAGTCTTGGCCAGACTGTATAATTTTCAGGCAGCTTTGATCCACCCTAGTTCTTTATTGATGGATGGATTTTACTGATATCCTTCCCTTTTTCCTGCAAGAAACTCTAGGCAGGTCACATAACCATCCAGGTCCCCTCAGCTTTTAGCCTCATGGCAGTCCTGGGAGGGAGGTTGGGCTGAAAGTCTGTGCCAGGCCCAAAGCCACCCAGTGAACTTCATGGCTGAGTTAGAGCCTGGATCTCCCAAGTGCAAGATTCTCACCACTGCACCACACTGCTTTGTCTGTGCAGATGAAACAGCTTGCAACAAGAGTGCGGCTGTTGGAGGGGAAACTTCTCCTTCCTCATCAGATTGGTTTCTTCAGATTTTTAACAAGTACTTGCATTTACTGACTTGCTCATAAAGTAGAAGTACATTTATTTCTTTATCCAGTACATGAGTCAACCTTTAGCTGAAGCTCTCAGAACAACATGATAAAGGCAAAAACCAGCCAATAACAAGACGATAAGAGCAAAAAGCAACAAATAGTAGTAACTGAGTTTAACAACTGTGGATGCAGTTCAGTGCATCTTTTTCTGTTAGGAGGTTCTGTTAATCACAGTGGAGCCTACTTCTGTGTAAAGACTGCATTGAAACTGTACTTAGAGGCCTTCATTTTCTTCCTGACCAGTCTTACGCTGAAGACGAAAACAAAGGTTTGGAATCTCAAGTGACATATTAAAAGTCAACACTTAAAAGAACTAAAATGAACTATAATACATGACTTATTCAGCATTGCATATAAAGAGATGACTGCTCCTTTCTGTGCTCCCGCACAACCTTCAATACCAGCTGTCATTTATGCTCAGGTACTCAGCTGAGTGTCTACAGATCAACACAAAGCATGAAGGGCATCTGAAGGATTTCCTGCTAACAGTTGAAGGGGATTTGCCTTGTGTTGATATGGGAATGAGTATTTTACTTCTTTCCCCAAAAAGTGTCTCTCCAGTCTTCATGAACTAAGAAAGGGTTGTGAATGTAGCAAACTTGGGTATGATAACTAAATAGGGTGCTTGCTGATGGACAGCTCCAAGTACTACCAATCAAAAAGGACTGTGCAACTAATCCAACAGTCAGAAGGAATTCTGCAGCTTATCAGCCAATCAAAAGACTTTTTTTTACCCTTCTTAAAAGATTCTTGTGCGAGAGAGATTAAGTGTGGGTGGGGGTGGTAAGGGAAGTGGTGGAGAAACACAGACGGGTTACAAATGGGACACTGTGATATCTGGATTTCCCTGACTCATAAATTTCTGCTTGCTTGAAGCAAGGCAATTGCACAATAGAAGCCTTGTCTGGAAGCGCCATAATATCGCTCATGTTTCTGTAAATTTTGCTGCCTAATCCAATTGGATTAATAGCTAAAACTGGCAGAGCTACTCTAGACAAAAGGCTGCATGGGAGAGTTGCCAATTACTTTTATCTTCCTGTTACTCTGGGTACTGTCACAGGAGGAAAAGCTGCATTAAACAAGGCATGTGTACCAACATTCATTCCGCAATTTTCTTACTTATTTTTCTAACATATTTAACTGCAGCAAGATCTCAGATGCCTGTTCTGCCCCCTTTTTAAGAATGGAGTCATCTTACACTGCTCTTCCCATCAAGGAAAACAATGGCTGCAATTTTAAAAGGTGCTGCTGCTGCTGCTGCTGCTGCTGCTGCTGCTGCTGCTGCTGCTGCTTCATTTCTATACTGCCTGTAGCTGGGAGGTTCACAACATTTTAAGTCATCCATCCAGATTTCAACTAAGCCCTACCCTGCTTAGCTTCCAAGATTAGGCACTGGTGCATTTCTTAAGTTTAACCACAACTTTGGCAGAATTAATTGGGAAAGACTTTATATTCTGAGAAAGTAGTTGCATTTGTGTGTTTATTTGTACAAATGTGTATACTAGTGAACATTAAAAACAACACAGTGATATTCAAGATCAAAGTTACAACAGTAAAAATACAGGATGAAGATGAAACAGAATGAAACAATCCCATGATACTATACAAGTTACCAGTATAGATAGCTGGTTCATACTACAATGAAAGATGCATCCCAAGCAGATACTTAAAATGCAGCATCAACACTTGTCTAATATTAATAGGGAAGGCGTTCCAGAGCATAGGAGCTACGATCCCAAATGCTCTCTTCTTGGTATTCATAAGGCAGAGCTCTGGATGATTTGACACCACCAAGAGTGGTGAAGAAAGTGGACTGAGAGACATTTTCCTTCCTCATAATATTAGAAACAAAGGCTATGTCATGAAAATGACTGGTGGGAGATGCAGGACTAATATAAGGATGTACACAGCACATAGCTGAAGTATGGAGTTCACTACCACAACATGGAACTTTAGAAGGGGGTTAGACACATTCCTTGAGGATAAGGCTGTTAGTGGCTACTAGTCTTGATGACTGCAGGCTACTTCCAGTGTCCGGCCATATGCCGATGTGCTATGTACCGGTTATTGGGGAACATGAGTGGGAGGGTTCCTATTTTACTTGTGGGTTTCCACACCGTGGCTACAGTGTGAACAAGATACCAGGCAGCATAGACCCTTGGTCTGATACAGCATGGCTCTTGTTCTTCATTTGATTTCTATACAACTCAATAGTTGAAGCTTTCTGGCAGTCCACACAATTCTTTGATTATTGTGTAAAGTGGCTCAAAAATCCTGAGGCAAGCTGGTCCCAGACCCCGCATGGTTTAAAAGATGAAATGTCTTCTACTTTGGCTTTCCATTCTAAAGACCTGACTGATGGACCCTTGCAAAAGCCAAGCTGTGAGAACAGCTGAAGTAATAGAAGAAAGAAGAAGCAGTATTTAAAAGGAAGGGAAGTGAAGTCTGCAATGCTGAGAGGTTAAACCACACAATTTGCAGTAATATTTGCCCTTTATTTCTGAGGCAGCTGGATGATGGCCAGAACATTGCTTACTGCATTTTATGGCATGTTCTTTTATTTCAGATTGATTGAGTGCAGACAAATAAAAGGGCAAGTGCCTTTTTAATTGCAACAAAAACTAGAAAGCTTGAAAATACTTGCCTTTTAGAGCTGTTCCATGCTGAGGAACTACAGGGCATGAATACATATAAGGCTGCATGAAAAGTAAAACTGCATGCAAATTAGTATTGGGCTTTTTCCTTTCATAGTCCTGCTTTTGTAAATCCTGGACAGATAGACTGGCCAACTTTTTTCCCTCTCTCTCATAACATGAAATAGGGGTCATCTACTAATGAGATCCATTGGCAGTCAATTTAGAACCAACCCCCCCCCCCAAATCTGCATGCTGTGCAGAATTACAAGTCTAATTAGATGAGACACCATACAGGCAGTCAACAATTGTGCATTTTTTAAAAAGGGAAGTTTAAAGAGGCCAGACTACACTGGTTGAGGCTTTAACCCTTTGCCCCCACACAATCTGGATTAAGCTTCCCACACTTGCTATTCTCTTTTAAAAATATGATTTTGAGCTCCTCTTTGCCATGATGCTTTTCCTAGAGGCAGGAGAGCAGCCTCCCAGTGCCTCCTCGGTGCAAAGTTCAGGAAGTGCCTTCCTTTAGTCTCTGCAGTCCCAGGTGACAATGCCCTTTACTGTATTGATGTTTCATGAGGTCAGAAGACAAACATGCAGGAATGGTATTGGTATCGGGTTGGTTATTTCTAGAAAGACCTGTAGGTAATGCAAAGGGTTTGCTATACAATTTGTGTGGCATATATTTGTATTTCTCCAGACAAGGAATGCCTTTTCTTTGTGATCATGGTATAACAGAATATGAATAGAAGACGATCCAGTGGAAATTACACTTTCCAGTGGAATTTCCACTGTGAAAAACACAACTAACTTTGCTTTATCTGTGCATTCATTTCCAGATTGGTTTATTGAATGTTGCTTGCATCCTAATTATTACCTATGAAGATGTAAGACTAATGCCAGAAAACACATTCATGTTTTTTTCTTATATTTTGTTTCAGAGGAAAACATATCCAGTCTCTGACACTTTTCCTTCTGTATGGAACTTTTTAGCAAACCTAGATATTAACAATTTCTGGAGAACAGTGGATATAATGGGAAAAGAGGTATGGAAATGATGCAGCTGGATAAAAGCTCACGTGGGAAATTAATAGCTGTCCATGAAGCACTACCAAGTAGCAAAAAGTGTTCTTTAACCATTATATAAATGCTGTAATGATCACCCACTCATTTGTATGGAGCAAAGGATTTTGTATCATCTAGTGTGATTAATGGCAAAGTTGCACTATGCCTTATAGACTTCAGGAAAATAATTGTGTCAAAGGCATAAGCCTGCCTTTCCCTATTTTCAAGGGAATAGCAGCATCCTAATAAAGAATAATGATCCAGGTTGGTTTTATTTGTCAAGAAGCCTATGCAAAAGTAGCAGAACTTGATTTGTACTGTGTCCTATGGCTGCAGATACTACAGAACCTTCAGAACAGACCGAAAACCCCGGAATGCATGTTCTTAAATCATGTATGAAATTCATGTTCCTTTCTCTGGGGACATTTCTATGTTTAAACACACACAACTGTGCAATCTAGTATTTTGGCCTTGGGTTCTATCCAGTGGTTGAATTTTTGAAAAAATGAGGGGGGAAGCCAGCTCACAATAACATTTCAACTTCTAATGAGACAAGAACTGTAAAGCATATTCTATATTAAGTGACTGTAGTGAACTTCTTCAGCATTGGAAAATGTCCCTAAATACCATTACCATCTGCAAAGCACCCTTTAGCTTTCTTGAATGATCAAAACAATGTACACGTATAATTTTGTGTGTGCTTTTCTGTGTGCTCTGATAGGCTCCATCTGTACATGAAGCAGAGATGGAATTGCACCAATAGGCGTATTTGTATGACAATAGTGGGAGGGCTGTAGAATGGTGCCATTTTCTAGCTGTTATCTTGAGGCATGGAAGGAAGATCAGTTTTGATTGCAGCCAACAATTATAACCAAACAGCAACTGATTGTTCCCTTTGTCTTTAGATTCCCAGTGAAGCACCCTGGGATGCACCACACGCTGAAGAGTGGGACAAAATGACAATGAAACAATTAATTGACAAACATTGCTGGACCAAGTAAGTGACTTAACTCATGCTGTCATTTGAGCTTAACATGTCTGTGTCTTACCTTCCTCCCTGCCGCACAGAACACAAGCATCAAAGGTGATTAGGATCGGAGTTGCTGGAGAAATATAGGTAAGAGACAAATAGGAGTTGGAACTAGAAAATGAACACTCTAGAACAACTCAGCCATGTGTACTTTGGACTATAAAAAACAATTATCCCCAAAGCAACAATTAATAGCTGAGTAAATAAGGCCAGAATAAATTTTAATTCATAAAATGCTGTGTTCCTATTGCTTCTTGAACAGTAGCCTAGGGGATGCCGCCTTAGGCCACCAGTTGGCGGCTGCTGTTACATGACTGCCTGCAATTTAAATGGCCCTATGGATTAAGATTGCATTTAATAGAGATTTTTAACTTTTATTTTTAGTGGAAATGAGAGGGTAATCTGGGAATGTAATAAAGAGGTAGTTCCCCAAATAAAGTTTTAGAGAAAAGTCCTGCAGAGCATAGCAAATTGAAATCAGTGCCTGCCTTTGGATTGTTTCTAGAGCTGCCAAGGAGCTTGCTACTTGCTTTGTCAATGCCAACGTTACTTCTGAGACATACGAAGTCTCTGCTCTCTGGTTCCTGTGGTATGTGAAGCTGTGTGGAGGAACAGCCAGGATCTTTTCTGTAACAAATGGAGGACAGGTATGTCAAGGTATACACCTGTCCTTCTCTTTAAAGATACATAAGGAAGGAAGGTGATGTTGCATTTCCCGTAAGAGAAGACAAATTTAAAGCACAGTGAAAAACACTGATCACAGAGTCACTGGGTGCTCCCAAATGAGGCTATTATGCAATTGCTTTGTCTCTTTCAGGGAATTTTACAAGGGGGCTTAGATAATGGCATCTTCCATTTGTACCTCCCTGTGTTGTTCTACTACTACCTTATTTGACGCTTTCTTCTCAGAAAAATTGTCTATTAAAGAAGATACGACAGAATAGCTCCACAACACCCTTTGATTGTTAGCAACAGGAAGGTGCAAGATAGTTTCCCACTCCTGCAATAACCAAATGAAAAATCATGTCATTTTGTGGAGCCATATTTAGACCTCAGTTGAAATGAGATTAATATTACTTTTCCTCCCTTCTGTTCACCCATGTTGCCTGCTGCCGATGTTTGCTGTACTGTTGTAATAATGGCCCAATTTAGTTTCCATGGTTACTAGCCATTGACTAGATAATTTCTTCCATACCACCAGCATTTCTAGCTAAATATAGATGCAACTGCAGACCTGCGTATTGGATGCCATGACCACGAGAGCTTTTGGGAAAGTCCTTCAATTACAGCAATTCTTGCAGATATTTATTGAGAGAACAAGGAAATCATGAAGAACTACTCTCTAAGAGAATAGGGTATAGAGAGCACTACTAACTCACATCTTGGAAGGTTATCAGTTGAGAATTCTCATGGCTTAACATACAGATATGATAGCAGGAGATCTATGTTCTGACATGGGATAAGATAATGCTTTTATGAAGGAGGTAGCCAAAGACAGAAAAATAATTTCAGACCAGTCTTAAGAGGCCATGGGGATTTATGCTGCAGTCAGAAATTTAATTTAATTTTTAATTTAATTTAAACATTTATATGCCATCCTTTGCAACAGCCTCAGGGCAGCTTACAGAAATCAAGAGACTTACCCGCTGTGTGCCATGGAGTGTGTCTCACACTTTGGACAAGACATTTAACCTACACCATTTTGGAACTGAGTCACAGCAAGTCATGCTGCAACACTGAACTCTTTGGCTGGACAGCCTCAAAAGTGCTTCCTTAGCACTATGTCTTGTTAACCGCATTGAACTTCTCCTGTCCTAATGCCTTGTGTGAAATGCTATTATTATTACTGTCACTACATTGCACTTACATGTCAACTTTTTCCCGTTTGTGAGGAACTTCAGCAGCTTAGAAAACTAGGCACAGCTCCCAGCAGCAGCCCCATATTGTAAGTTAGACCGAGAGTAAGTGACTGGCCCAAAAGCCCTCACTGAGCCTCATGGCCAAGTGGGTACTAGAACCCAGATCTCCTACATATCCAGTGCAACAGTCTGACCACTGCACCACACTGGTTCTTTTTGCCAAAGAGAAGCAAACTGACAGACAGACAGACAGACAGACAGACTACCCCAAATCCATAGTTGGGCAATACATTTAAGACCAACCAGATTCCACCAAAATGTGGAAGCTTTTGGGTTCTGCAGAATCCTTCATCAGACTCAGTGGTGCAAAAAGCTGGACATAGGGAAAGTATCATGAAGGTTCCGACATTTTGCCAGGAGATTTTCCCATGGGGCTCTGCAATGTCAATAGACACAAGTGGGGAAGGTGGCAGGGCTGGCTCCTGGGTAGTGTGAGCCCAGGACATGGATCCCTACCATGCCTGTGCACCACCACCCCAATTGCACCGGGATCTTTCTCTTGTCCTCATGTCCTCCATTCTATACAAGTCAACACTGAGTGAGTGGGAACAGAGTTGAGAAGGAAGAAGAAATGGTACTGCTATAGGAAGCAGACGTGAAAGCACAGCTGAGCAGGAGGAAGGACTGGTGAGGAGATGTTGCTGCTTGGTGCTGCCAGACCTGGATGGCTGCCAGCGATTAATGCAAGATCGCCAGCAACATCCAATGTGCCTTTTTCAGCTACCTGCTTAAATATACTTAATGAATCCCATGCAGTACAATCCTAAACATGTTTATTCAGATGTGAAAAAAGGTGAATTACTTATTCCCTAGTAAGTACATCATCAAAGTGCTCACTGGATACCCCCCCTTGTTATGATGATTTCAGGATCACTGCTGGTGGTGCTGATAACCAGAAAAGCAATACTCTGTCACCTGCAGTGCCAATAGGAAGACAGTTTTCTCTAAGGAGTGCTTTTGGTGGCGGAGCAGAACTGAGCGGTTTCCTAATTTTGTCCTACTGTGGCTCCCAGGAAAATGAGCTGTTTCTGCAGTTCGCCTATATTCTGGTATCAGCTTCACAGATCCTTCCCTCTTCCTTTTTCCTCATATGTCATGTCAATTAGACTGTACGCCTTTGGTCAGGAGCTGTTTCTTTTATGTTTCATCTTTGTATGACAGTAAATTTTAGGCACTTTATAGATTATGATTATAAGTGCTAGAAAGTGGCTTCTTTTGACTGATAGCAGATAAAACTACAACAAACAATTAGCCCTATGACAGCCACAAAATGTACATGCAAACAGACAATCTTAATAGGTTTTATACTGTTCCGCTGCTGTGCAGACTCTGTGAAGGAAAGAAACCTCTGCTGCTTCCTCTCAGGGCTAGATCAAATTAAGCCTCTGACATACTCTGGAGATGCAGAAACAAGGTGAAGTGTTCGTTGCTCATGAGAAATTTTATAGCATATTAACATTTGAAATAGAGAAAAGCCTCTGCTGATTGACTGTTAGGCTGCTCAGAGTAGATATTTCTCATTTGTTTCTAGTTTTTGTGTCCCGATGCCTGCATCTGCTTAGTGATTTTACAAAATATATCAAGTATTTGTGGAAACAACAATATGCTCAAAAGAATGTTGTAATGCTAAAATCTAATTCTGTATGTCATTCAATCAGCCGAATTTTAGGGGGGAAATTAAATCCAGAATGTTGTAATGCTAAAATGTAATTCTGCATGCAATTCAGTCAGGCCACTTTTAGGGGGAAAATCAATCCAAATAGCAGGCACAACTAGATGAAAGAACAAGAGGTGCTTAATTGGGTATCCTACTGTGTGTGGTTAAGTTTACACACCTAGAGAGAAGCCACATTTCTGGGTGGAAGGGATTTGGTTCCTCCCTCCCCGCATTCCTGTTTTCCCCAAATTTCCCCTTTGTAAAGCATATAGTTACACACATGAGTACAGGAGCTGCTTTAGTACATTCAGGATGGCTTTATGATATCTGAGAATATGTGCCCCTTCATGCAAATACAGTTGTCTTTACACAGCGGAGTTTCTTCACACAAGAAAATGTTTTTCCTTACACCGGTTGCTCTTTTAGATAAGTATTGTATCATATCATGGTAGAGGTAGCAGGAAAGATGTCTACTTTTGGTACTTGAGGGCTCATTCTGGCTCAGGGCTGTGCTCACGCCACCCCATCAAAGGAGTGGGCTAGCAACTCATGCTGGTTTCCTGCTGTGTAGTTGGTTCGTGTTTTCCCTCCTATCAAGTAATCCGTGCTGTGCAAGCTGAGGTCAACAAATGGCAGCTGAGCCTTGGTAGCTTATTTGCAGTCCAGTGCTCCAGGAGCAGATACGTGAATAAAGGCAGTTGCTACCTGAGTGTGCATAAGCAAGATTCTCCACATTTTTCATGGTCCCTCATCTGAGGCAGGTGTATTCAGAGATTATGCTATTTGCATAGAGGTCTACAGGTCCCTGTTTAATTGTCATGTAGCTGAGTTTGGCTGATTTTATGTCATTTGCCTTGATGAAACATTCTTCACTGCATAGTCCAGTTGGTCAAAAGGCCTTTTTCTTGCAGGTCTGTGCCACCTTTTAAAAAACTAGCTCTGGATGTCCTTTTCTCACACCTTAGCTAAATGTGGGCGGAGTACATTGCTCATGTGTTACTAATGTTGACAGTATCTTTCTTCTGCTGCTACTGCTGTTCTTCTCAGGAGAGGAAGTTTGTTGGGGGCTCTGGACAGATAACAGAAAGGATCATGGAACAACTCAAAGACAATGTTAAACTGGAGAGACCCGTAATCTCTATTGACCAGTCAGGGGATGATGTCATTGTGGAGACCCTGAATCATGAGATATATAAGGTAATTCTCATCACCCATAGGTTTGGTTTAGTTTTTAAATATTCCAGTCTGAATTTGATTGACTTGTGCTACACTTGAAAAACTATAACTGCTGCTTTATTTTCTTAAATTACATTTGCGTGTGCATTATAGTCCTATAAACTGCTTTGCGAGGGGAATATGCTTTGAAAGACAAGTTTAAAGCATTTTAAGCAAATATGTAATGGAATATGTGTCTGATATACCTTTGTTATATTTTATAGTGCAAGTACGTGATTAGTGCCATCCCACCAGTTCTAACTACAAAGATCCATTTCAAGCCACAGCTGCCAACAAAAAGGAACCAGTTAATCCAGCGCATTCCCATGGGCTCTGTTATTAAATGCATGATGTATTACAATGAAGCCTTCTGGAAAAAGCTTGGTATGTATGACTCAGTTGCAGCAAAACTGAGAATTTGTAACATCTTAGGACCAAACTTCATGTTGTCACAAAGTCTGGGTAACTTTCTCTCGCATTTACAAAAAATGAAATGATGCTTCTGGACACTGCAAACAGGAGTGGAGAATGGCCAGTTCAGGAAGGAGATCTTCAGTTATTCCTGGTTGCTAGTAGGGCAAAAATAGGATTGGGATGGAATGTCTGACGGACCAACATATATGACTGATGGGGGAATTTAGTTTGGTAGGTCACAGAATGCACAGGTCTGGGATTGTCCTCATGCGACTGATGCAGTTAGCTGTGTTAATGCACTTTATCTACTTAGCTCCTGTTGAATCACAATACATAGATATATAGTATAATATCTCAGTATTGTTAAGTATTTGTAGTATTACTGTGTTTGCCAATAGGTGATGTAGATGCATGTAGACAATGATGGATATCAATATGTTTTAAATATTGCAGCAATCAAAAATGTTCATTATAAAGAACTGAAAATTTGAGTGTGTTTTGCTTGGAAGTTTAGAAAAACAGGAGGAGTAATATCTAGAATATGAATACCTACAGTTATTCATTTAAGTGGGTTACGCTAAGTAAGACTTAGGTTGGAAGCGACCCTAAATGTTTGACTGCTATGAGTAAAGCAAAAATAATGGTGCATATGATTATCTGAGATGTGTGCCTGGAAATAATACTCCATACTGTGGATTTCTGGTGACCATTTCCCCTCCCCACCTTTTTTGTCAGGTTTCTGTGGTGGCACGCTGATTATGGACGATGAGGCTCCAATTTCAGTCACCTTAGATGATACTAAGCCTGATGGATCCGTCCCTGCCCTTATGGGGTAATAAATGCAGTGTTTGTTTGTTTAGCTGCAACAGTATTTGTATAAAGATTTTGCAGGACTAGCTGGTGTGAAGTTATAGAATGGGCCCTACATAATATGGGAGAACCCCATAGAGAAATCATGTTTATCCAATGCTGTTAGTGCTGCCCTGCATATCTTCAGCTGTATTGTTTTTCCTCATCCATATAAACATACCTTTTGCTGCAAGCGGAGTCTCTGTGAATCCAGCAATGACATGTTGCTTCATCCCCTGCTATAATGACATGGTTTTATTCATTGCATGTATATCCCCTTTTTCCTCTTGCAAGGATCCCAAGGCAGCTCACATAACCCTTCTTTTCCTCCCCTTCTTTCATTTTATCCTCACAATATTGCTGTGAGATTAGTTAGGCTGAGAGTAATTGACTGGTCACCTGGTCATCATTACGGTTGAGTGAAGACTAGCACCTGGTTCTCCTGAGTCCCAGTCCAGTAGTCTAACCACTGCACAAGCCCAGCCCTTTCATTTCCATTCTCCCAGTCCCAGCAATTGCCCATCTCTATAACAGTGATGCAGAACCCAGGTGATGGGTCAAATCTTACCTGCCTAAGGACTGATCCTGCCCAGCCTGGTTCCCCAGATAGCTTTTTCCTCCCTGCTGATCATTTGAAGGTTTCTCAGTACACCCCACCCCCATTCTAAAGGTTGGCATGCTCTCCTAAGGTTTAGTTACTGGGAATAAGAGCTTTGAACTAAACTGCTGGAATCTTTGGCCCTGGCCTCTTTTGCCTTTGGGTCCACCCACCACAGTCATGTGACTTTGAAGAGTTTCGCCAAGATTGAATTTGGCCTTTAGGCTGAAAGAGATTCAGCACCTCTGCTCTATACACCGCTGCCCTGATCATGGTAATTTTTGGAACTTCTTAGAGGCACAGGTACTGAATGTTGCACACACAGAACATAGAGTCACACATGCCTAGGAATACTGGAGAAATCCACAATAGATTCAAATGAGTTTGGATGTGTATTCATCCAGCCTGCAGATTTCAAAGTAATATTTGCTGAGTTGTATGGAGTCCACAGACTTGTGGACAAGTGTCTTTGGGGAGATTTGTGCAAATTCACACTTGTACTGATATACATTTACACTTATATACATTTCCCCTTATTCTCATATTTCCTTAGAAATCCAGACCCATCATGGAGCAGACAATGGAAAGACAGGCACATGAAAATCTGCAAAATAGAAAGGGAAAGGAATTAACAATCTGTATGTCCCTTCATATGGCACCCAGGCTTGACGGTGCTGTTGCTTAATGCCAGGTTGATCCACAACAAATCATCCCTCATCCACGACCTGATTGTGGATGAGGGGGCTGACCTGGCTTGCATAACTGAGGCCTGGGCAGGAGACAGGGGGGATGTCGCCCTCTCTCCAATGTGCCCACCCGGGTATTGGTTCAGCACCGTCCACGCCTGGAGGGGAAGGGAGGGGGGTTGCTTTGGTTTACCGAGCCTCCATCTCCCTCATGGGGCTTCCAGTCCCCTCAAGGCCTGGGCTAGAGTGCCTCTACTTGGTGTTGGGAGACCGAGACAGATTGGGGATTCTGTTGGTGTACCGTGCACCCTTCTGCCGAACAGTCTCCCTGCCTGAGCTGATGGAGATCGTCTCGGACCTGGTCTTGAGGACCCCCAGGATGTTGGTCCTGGGGGACTTCAATCTCCATGCCGAGACTAATTAACAATGCCAAGCACGGGATAGGGATCTGGATCTTGGAAGTGGTTAACGCCTCTCTGAGGGAGGGCCGGAGACCTGCCCCTTTAAAGGAGGCAGTAGTCTGACCAGTCCTGAAGAAGGCATCTCTGGATACAGAGATGGCCACTAATTATAGACCAGTGGCCAATATCCTGTTCCTGGGCAAGGTGTTGGAGCGGGTGGTGGCGGGACAACTCCAAGCACTCTTGGATGAAACTGATTATCTAGACCCATTTCAGTCCGGCTTCAGACCCGGGTACGGTACTGAATCTGCCTTGGTCGCCCTGTACAATGACCTGTGCAGGGAGAAGGACAAGGGGAGTGCGTCCCTCTTTCGATACCATCGGCCATGGTATCCTTCTGGATAGGCTAGCGGGATTGGGGGTCAGAGGCACTGCTTTGCGGTGGTTCTGCTCCTGTCTCAATGGCCGATTCCAGAAGGTGGTGCTGGGGGACTATGGCTCTGCACCATGGCAGTTATGCCATGGAGTTCCGCAGGGATCCATTTTGTCCCCCTTGCTATTCAACATCTACATGAAACCGCTGGGAGAGGTCATTAGGAGGTGTGGGCTGCGGAACCATCAGTACGCTGATGATACCCAGCTCTACCTCTCGTTTTCTACCAATCCAGGTGAGGCAGTGGCTGTGCTGAACCGGTGCTTGGCCGAGGTAATGGGCTGGATGAGGGCCAATAAACTGAAGCTCAATCCAGACAAGATGGAGGTCCTGTTGGTAGGCGGATCGGGCTTCGAGGAAGGGGACCTTGACCTTGTCCTGAATGGGGTTGCACTCCCTCTTAGGGACAAGGTCCACATCTTGGGAGCGCTCCTCGACCCAGAGCTTTCACTGGAAGCTCAGGTGACAGCAGTGGCGAGGAGTGCTTTCTTTCAGCTTTGGCTGATCCATCAGCTGCGTCCCTACCTGGAGAACGACTGCCTGGTGACAGTGACACATGCACTGGTAACTTACTGATTAGACTTCTGCAACGCACTCTACATGGGGCTGCCCTTGAAGACGGTCCGGATACTTCAATTGGTTCAAATTAGAGCTGCCGGGCTACTGATGGGGACTGGGCGTTGTGTTCACATGACTCCAGTCCTCCGTCAACTCCACTCGCTCCCCATTGAAGTCCGGGCCCAATTCAAGGTGTTGGTTATTACTTATAAGGCCCTTAATGGCTTGGGTCCTGGTTACCTAAAGGAGCGCTTAGGTCCATACGTGCCCTCCTGCCCCTTGAGATCAGCAGGAGAGGCCCTTCTCCGGGAACCCTCCATGAAGGATATTAGGAAGGTAAGTACCCGGAGGAGGGCTTTCTCTGTGGTGGCGCCCAATTTATGGAATGCGCTCTCCAGAGAGGTCCGCCTGGCGCCGTCATTATATGTTTTTCGGCGGCAGGTGAAGACCTTTTAATTTAAATGGCATTTTAATTGTTAGCTTATTTATTGATTTTATATCTTTGGCCAGGGCGTTTCCAATTGTACTGTTTTTATATGATTATATGCATTTATTGTTGTAAGCCGCCCCGAAGCTTTGGCAAATGGGGCAGCATAGAAGTTTACTTACTTACTTACTTACTTACTTACTTACTAAATAAATAAATAAATAAATAAATAAGTAAGTAAGACTGTTCTAAATCCTACAAATGCATTAAAAAGAAATCATTTGTCTGCCATAAATCTAAAGTACTTCAGAAAGAGATGTGGGTCTTCCCACATCCCCTTGTCACTGCCTATTCAAACAGCAGATTTATAGCCAGTGTGTTTGGAGAATTTTGCTGACTGGCATTTTAGAGGAAGAACTGCAAAAAATACAGAAGCATTGACTTGGTTTTAAGCTGACCACTCGGTTATACAGAGACCTTAAATTTTGCATCTTGTGGGAACTAGATTAATATAAAGAAGTATTGATAAAATGTTTCCATTTTAAATTGAAGCCAGAAAAGCTAGAGGGTTTATACATGGTAATGATTTAATTTCTGACTACCAGAAGAATAAGGTTAACTATGTTTTAAAGCATACACAATTATATCAGAAATTAGGAAGGCTTGAACACATTATAGAGGGGAGATGGCAGTCCGTTCGTTCGTTCATTCATTTGTTCGTTCTCTCTCTCTCTCTCTCTCTCCTCCACTGATCAGCACCCTGATGATGGTCTCTGATAACTTATTTATAGATTCAGGGTGCATGGCTGGGTGAAGGCACAGCAGGAGTGAAATTCAAATTCAGGAATGCAGCTCTGCCCTGCCCAAGAGGATATGAAGCTTCTGCTGTCACTTTCCAGAATCCAGACTAAGACAATGTGCCTCAAGCACAAAACAAGATCAAGAAATACATGCAAAGCCAATTACACAAGTGCATGATCTCACCTGCACACTGAAAACATGCATATATGTAGAGTATTGTCAAGGAATAGGCTGCCTTTGAAGATGGGCTTGGGAAAGTATCCATTTTGCAGAAGGAATACACTAGTGAAATAGTCCATCAGGTCCTGTTTTGCCTGCTCTGCCTTACAGGCCATGAGTGCGGTCATCAACAGTATACACTTAACTGTTACACAAGGCAGGCAAAACTCTGCAGCAGTCTGCACATCGCTTTTTGTTGTTCCTGTGGATGATTCCCTGAAGACATGCATTCCTGTGCAAAATCTGCTGTGTCTCCATTTTTCAACATTTTCTCTAAGTTCAAATATTTTGCATGTATGTATATGTTTCACATTGGAATGCTCATTTATGGAATATTCATGTGCAATTATTTTTCCATTTTAGCTTTATTCTTACAAGAAAGGCCTTTAAACTAGCAGAGCTTAGCAAAGAGGAAAGGTAAGGATAAGTAACTTCTAAATGCATTTCTCATTTAAAAGATGGTGTTTAAATTCTCATATATGTATTAATGTTTATTATTATTTTGTAAAATCTTTTACAAAAATAATGCAAACCTTGGTGGATAACTGGGCTTAAGTTCCATTGCAAATCTTTTCCACTGAATGTATGTATGTATGTATGAGTTGTTGTTGTTGTTTGCTACATTGTTGTAGGACAGCTGCTTGCCCAGATTCATTAACTGGTTCTTTCTTAAACTTGTTTAAAGAGGATGTCTGCTTTAATGAACTTGTTATAATAACGGAATTGTATGTTTTATATTAAAAACTGTTTTGCAAAGACTGAACTATTTAAAAACAACTAAGAAAAGACATGCATATAAATTAATAAGCAAGCATGCTTTGTAGCTAAGGGGAAATTGAATGTCAGAGGCTTCCAAACCTGACATTTTAGTCACTGCACTGGTATATATACTAGCCTACTCTTTGTAAAGCTGCAGTTTAGCAACCAGTAAAACAAAAACAGTGCTCTGCAAAACAAAATGCATTAAGTTGTTATGCAAAACTATGCCTACCAGTTCCACACACGTTTCCACTCATTAGAAAACAAATCTTAGTAAATAAAGCATGTGCGTGTGTATTCTGGGAGAAGGAGAAGGAGAGAGTGCCAGTTGCAAATGTTCTAAATATGTCACAGCTGGGGTCTAATCTGGCGGAGAGGAGAGGCAGTGCACATTGGCTTCCTCCTCCTCCTCCACCCAGTCCAGGAAGCAGAAACAGGGGAGGGGACATTTGAAAGAGAAAATGAGAGCCCTGCAAATGTATTTTCTCCCCCCTTGCCCATTTTCGAAACTGCAACAGCATTACAAGTGCTGCAACTCCAGTGTACTCAGGAAGACTATAAAATCTGCCAGGTTCTTTTCAGTAGAGTTCAAAAGAAGTAATTCCATAAAACATACCCATTTGACCTGTAATGTGGTTTCGATACTTGTTGATATTAAGTGTATTAGTTTAGAAGCTAATGGTCAGGCGGACACTTTTATGTTTTCCTTTCCTTTCCTTTTTGACCCTGTTCCTTTTTCACATAGGAAGAGAAAAATCTGTGAACTATATGCAAAAGTGTTTGGCTCAGAAGAAGCTTTGCACGTAAGGAATAAAAGCATCTGGAATGGCATAGTATTAATACTGATGATGATTTCTGGTTAAACTGTATGGACTTTTGGGTGTAGGCTCATATCACATTGTGGTTTCTAGACTGAAAGGAAATGCATGACAGCTATTTTACTTTGCAGCTTAAATATAGCCCTAAGATTACAACACGTGTGTGTGTGTGTGTGTGTGTGTGTGTGTGTGTGTGTGTGTGTGTTGCCTGCATGCCAGGTTTTCAGAAGGGGCCAGTGGCAGGTAGAGGGATGGAAGAAAACCATGCAATGAATTGTGCAAAAGCAGGAAATTAGAAGTGCTGCCCCATACTCAACGGTGGCGCCTAAGTTATGGAATGCGCTCCCCAGAGAGGTCCGCCTGGCGCCGTCGTTATTTGTTTTTTGGCGCCAGGCTAAGACCTTTTTATTTAAGCAACATTTTAAATGCTAAATATAATTGAATTTTATCTGGCCAGGGCGGCTTATTTTATAATGTGAGTTTTAATTTAGATTATTTTATATGGATTTTAACTTGTTTTATCTATGTTGTAAGCCGCCCCGAGGCTTCGGCGAATGGGGCGGCATAAAAATGTTTTAATAAATAAATAAATAAATAAATAAATAAATACTATCCTATGCCTAGCAGCCACAGGTTCTACAGACACACTTCTATGCATGTTTAACCAGAAAAAAAGTCCTACAACTCAAAATGTTCTACAGAAGGACCTTTTTTCTGGCTGAACAAGCATAGGGTCATTTCCTTAGCACTAAAGCTATATAGTTTGGGACTGTCAAAATATTTGCTCTCTGTTTAGAACCTCTGATGAAAGAAGTGCAATTTATCTTACCCCTGGAGTAGCAATATTGTTTTGAAGTGCCAAAGAAAATATATTTGATATAAGTTTATAGATCTATTTTAATTGATATTAATTATCATGCTCAGATCTGAAATGGAATGTAAGGCCACAATAAGAAGAGTGGGGTAAAGTGGTGAAAAGTTACTGGAAGCAAGTTAAAAAAATCTCTCTCCAAAACTGGGAAATAAGAGTTGTAAGCATGCTTATCACTCTAAAAGAATAGCCCCTTCTTCATGCCAGTTAAACTATTTTCATTTTTTGCTTTTTCAGCGTTACATTCCTATAAATATCTGTGCTTTGCTTTATGTAGGTCGGCAAACAGTTGGACTAAACTACTTACTATGAGTAGTGTCTAAGGGAGCACATTGTTTTTCCCTAGAGTAGGTGTAAGGATGCCTGATTTGGTTGGGGACCATCAAGCCACATCAGTGTTTAAATCCACTCCCTCTCTTGAGGTTTGAAATAGAGAATTTGAAAACTACAAGTTCTACTTCATTATTACCATTTCTCTGTGTAGATGATGTCAGAATTACAATTTCTCATATTAACTCACCCTAGGTAGTCCTATGTAGAATAGACTCATACAAATGAATAGGTTGTAAGCAACTTTGGTCATATTCATTCCAACAGGTCTTTCCTAAGTAAGACTAGCATTACCCGCAAAACACGTTGCTCACTGGAGAAACACACTGGGAAGAATTTTATGCCGGGGAAATGCTGGAAGGGCTTTGGCCCCATTCAGCAAACACACGGCATCCAGTTCAGTTTGTTGACACAGAGCTCAGTAGAAGCATAGCCCCACTAAGCTGACATCAATAAGATCCTGTTTCTGTGTGCATGTCTTCATATAATCCACTAATATGAAACTGGGAAGACATCTGGCATTTTCCAGTTTAATTCTGCCATGTTTCAATTGTTTTCTTTGTTTCTCCCGCTTGGCTTTCTCTTCCAGCCAGTGCATTATGAAGAAAAGAACTGGAGTGAAGAACAATATTCTGGCGGCTGCTATACTGCCTATTTTCCACCAGGCATTATGTCCCAATATGGAAGGTAAAAACTAGACAACCACAAATTCTGTATAGACATGGTTATCCAGAGTCGCTGAACTACAAAATAATGGAAAGACCTGGGTGGGGATTCAGTTCAGCCTTGGGCCTCCAACCTCCCAAAGTGGGTGGGGCCACTGCTGTCAGGAATGTCCCCGCATCTTGGCATGCACATGCACCATATTTGCATGCATTTCATGCACATGTGCTCAGCACCCTCCATGGGGAAGCCTGTGTGCACGTATGCATGCATGAGCCTCCTGCCTGAAATGGACAGCTGTTTGCAAGGGGCAGGTATTGAGATAGGAGGGAATGTCACTGTTAGCAAGGCAGTAGTGCCCATGCTCTCCTTCCCATGTTGCACTCATACTGACTCGTTGTGATAGAATATGGGTGGATATGTATACCTGAATGTGCATCCACAACCTGCCACAATAATAGCCATGCGCAATGGGATGAGCCTTACTTTGCTGCACAAATGGGCTGTGAGATCATGGCAGGACAGGGACTATTGATTCCCCTCTCCATTCCTCCTTGGACTAATCAATTATCATTTATAGGAAAAAATGCACAAACAAGTAGAAGGGATGCTGGGAGGAAATGCTGCAAACATGTCCACATTTCCCGGAGATGTTGAGTCTCCGATGGCACCTGCTCCCAGACCCTTCAGGTTTGGTGTCTGTCAGCAGCACTTCAGAACCAGCCATTTGGACTTGCTAATCAAGTGGCTTGATCTTCTCTGTGTTGCGATGCTTCTTTTACAGGGTAATTCGTCAGCCAGCGGGTCGGATCTACTTTGCTGGCACCGAGACAGCCACGCAGTGGAGTGGCTACATGGACGGGGCAGTGCAGGCTGGAGAAAGAGCTGCCAGAGAGGTAAAAAGGCTCAGTGTTCTAGCATCTTATTCAACGATGCAAATATGATAGGAGTGCCAGGCAGGCTCGGTGTCTTGAGCTACTGTCACTGTGCTAAAGAAAGAAGGTTCATCAAAGCAGAAGCATTGAAGAATGTTTATATAAACCAAAGTTCGTTCATGTTACTGTAGTTTGATGTATCATCAAAATTGCTGAAGTTTAGTTTAAAGTCTAAATCCAAGCTTTTCAGTCCTCTACATTCAGGTCCATTCTGATGCGTGAGTAGGGAAATCAACATTTCCCAGGAGTTACACACACATTTTAGCTGCCAGTTATTAGGTTTGACTGAAAGATGAGATCCTTGAGTTATCTGGACCTGTTTTGCTGTGCCTTCAAAACCCTGCAGCCTGGACTGATCTAGACGGGTTGCATATTGTTGGGTGGACAATCCTGGCTTGCAGTGGGATTGTGGGAGATGGAATTTGTGGCCAGTGTTTATCTGAGCTTATTGACTTACTGGAGGATGTGGTGTGGTCACTATTCCACATAGTCTGGTCTTAGGCCGCAGCCATAATGGTAATGTCTGCCAAAGGAAACTATGTGGGAATGCCAGGCAGTGTGGTGTTTATCACATTGGTTCTTGGACCCCCCCGCCCCCGTAAGCCAAGAGAACTGGCTTGGGAGAGAAGCATATTACCTGCCTGTCCCTAGTGCTGAACACGGAGCCGAAGCAGACAGAAATGCCATCGGCATTCCTAATGCGATGTAAGAATTGTTCTTCTGACTTTTTCCAACTACTTGGTTTATATGCTATATTTATACATGTGCATGTGCATGCATGCACACACACAGCTAATGTGATATGATTTTCTGTCTTCCAGGTACTTTGCAGCATGGGGAAGATTTCAAAGAATGAGATTTGGGTACCAGAACCAGAATCAAAGGCAAGTGTTCTCTCAAGTGCCTTTCTAGTAAAGCTGGATGCAACATTTTTATGCATCACAGAGGGCCTTGATTATATCACCTCACCGCTGTGTATTCTGATGAGGATGTCTGATGGAAAAATCACCGTGATCTTAGCAATGGAAACCTTGGCCAAGTTTCAAGGGGGTTGTTTAAGATCTGTGCTTCACCAGTAGGGTTCCAGTTCATGGCAAGCCTGCGGCCTCTCCTCTGAAAATTGAGAAACAAAAATATTTGACCTACTCATGAGTGGGGTTAATTCTGTCCCAGCCCAAACATACATATGAACTGAAACGAGTTCGCAGTCTCTAGGAAACACAGATCTCTGAAGTGGGAGGGGAGCACGAGCAAGAGGGTGCTGTGGCACTTGCAGTCTGCTTGTGAGCTTTGGGGGGGAGCCCGTGGGGCTTTCCTTAGTTCTCACATTGAGTGTTGGTGTATAGCTGGCAGGCATTACAGTAATGCATGCCGAAGCACAAAGAGGAGAGGCACGTCAGCTCTTTGTCCCACTGCATTTTGGGCCACAGCTGCTCGTGATGGGAATCAGTGCCAGATGTACGTGCTCATTTAAGCATGAAGTGTTCCGTTCATGGGACCAAAAGATAAACAAGGAATCTCAGGCTGACTTCCCTTTAAAACAACTAGGTCAAACAACCAGGTCAACCAGTTTCCCCACTCTCTCTTCTAGCTGTAGTTTCTCCATCTAACATTTGATTTACCAGCTGGGGATGACCATTCTCCTGGCATGCACCTGCATCCTCTTTTAGCCCCAAGCAACCTTTAAACCAGGGAAATGTGATTTGGTACCTGTCAGAAGTTTTGCACTACGACTCCCAGACTCCCTATTTGCTGCACTGACTGGGACTGATGGGGGTTCTAGCCCAAAATATCTGAATGCCACCAGGTTGCCTACACCTTCTTGAAGCATTTTCTTGCTGGTGTCTCTTTCTTATTCATTGTCAGCTCCACAGTCAGTTGTATTTGTGAGCAGTCAACATCTGAACCTCTTGGCATTTTAACCACTCATTTACTGAAAGCACACATAAAGGCTTTAGGGTTCTTTTGCCTGAATTATTTCCTGAGATTCTGTTTAGTTGTTCGGGAGACTTTCCATAGTGTAAAAGTGTATCTGAGTGGAAACTTATGCATGTTAACATAGAAGTAAATGCGCTGAGCTAAGTGTGATTACTTCTTGTAAGTGTGCATAAGATTGGATGGGGCTTGTTGGGTGTTATAAGCCTTTTTGTCTTAATATATTCAGAATTTTGTACCCTCAGTTGTTCTAGTCAGCCTGCTCTAACAAGGAATGTATTTCCACCTAGGATGTCCCAGGTCTCCCATTCATGACTACATTTTGGGAGAGAAACTTGCCATCTGTCCCAGGACTGCTGGCCTTCCTTGGATGTTCGGCTTTCCTCACCTCACTGGCTGCAGCTGGACTCTTTGCCTATAAAAAGGGACTCATCCCCCAAAAGTACATCTGAAAGTGTTTCCATTTTCCCTTCATATGGTGAATGTTATTTTTGGAGGGGAGTTGGTCAGACCTTCTTTGGGACACCCAAATCAACATTTCCAAACCAATTTAATCTGTGTCCTTTCACAAAGCAAGATCAAATGGTTGTGGAGCAGGTGGAGGCTCCATGACTTTCCTTAAAGGCCAGTGACATTTCCCCACTCTTAGACCTATTTAAGAACAAACAGGAGCAGAGACTTGGCACATTTCCCAATGCCTTTGGGGAAATCCCTCTTGTCTTAACTCTTTAAAAATTGTATGGCAAACAAATAAATGTTAAAGGCTTGCTCTGGTGGCTTCCAAAACCGACTATTATGTCAGGTGTCTGCTGTACAGACTGTAGTGCTATTTAAAATGGCAGCAACAAAAACCCCCTGTAAATGTATTTCCGGCAATTATATACTGAGACATGAAACTCCATGTGGGCCTGAATGAAAAGAAGTAAGTGGTGTTAATTGCAAAAGGCAAAGTAATAAACTCCTGGTTCTGCCTTCTGGTTCTTGACTCCTAGCTGAGCAGAGCAGAGCAAGCTGCTCCAGCTGGTCTAGGGACTGTGTGATACAAGTTCCCAGGGAGTGAGCAACCAGAGCAAGCAAGCATTTGGCAACAGAGTTTGGTCAGGGAGGTCAAGGGGAAGGTCCCTAATTTTTTCTTCTTTTTCTTTCTTCCCCCTTCTTGTAACACACTCCCATTTACTGTTAGGAATCTGTTGTTCACCTTCAGGGAAGACAGGACAAAGCATTGGTTGTTACAAGAGGCCCAGCAAGTTAGACTCAGAAGGGCAGCAGAAAGAAGGGACCCAGAAGACTCCCCAGTCATGGTGGTCTGCAGGGTTGGTGCAGTGTTTCTTTTCTTGCCCAAGGTCAACATGGCCTACTCATGCAACAAGTGCGAGCGGGTAGCCCTGTTAGAAGAAAAGAGGACAGCACTGGAGCAGTGAGTGTCCACCCTCAGGGTAATAAAAGGAAATGACGAGCTCTTAGAGTCGTGAAACTACAACAGCTAAGAGTAGTGCAGAAGCTAGAAGTGCAACAGTAAGCTGAGGTAGAAGAAAGGGGAAAATGAAGAGAAGCCCCCTAGAACTAGAAGGCACTCTGCATCAGTGGAAGCAGTGGAACTCTCAAACCGCTTTTGTTACCCAAGGATGAGAGGGAGGGCAGCCTGCTGGGCAAGAACTGCAAGACATCCCGTGCAACACTGATCGACAGGCTAAGCGTCAAGCAGGTAGTGGCAATGATAGCAAGGCCTGCAAGAGCAAGGAGAGAAGAGTGTTAGTTGTGGGAGACTTCCTGTTGCATGAGATGAAATGCATGTCAGAATGGCCTATGGACTTGTAAGGTATGCTGTCTCCCTGGAGGACAGATTAGTGGTCTAACTGAAAGATTGCCAAGGTTCATACAGCCCTCTGACATGTCTCTTTCATCTTTTTTCTTACAATGAGCATTTATTGTGCACTTGTGATTCCTCCCTCACAAGTAGTTTGCAGGTGCTTTGCATGATGTCATCCTCCTCCAGAGCCTCTCCCATTTGTTGGAGCCATTATAGCTCTTCCCCTTCCCCCCAAATCTGGTGTTCCTGTGAATGCTGGCAATTCTTCATGAACTTCCATGATTCTGCTATACCACAGTGACACTTAGTGCTGATACTCTGAATATGGCCTTGCCCACCCTCACCCATTACTGAAGCACTTCTTCAAAACTGGATTCAGCTCTTGGGCTGAAAGATGCCAAGCATCACTGCTACTCTTGTCACTTATGTCCCATCAAGTCATCTCTATGAATGAATGCTTGCCAAAATCTCCTCTACTTCACAGCCCTGCTCAGCTCTTAGAAATCTGAGGCTGTGGCTTCCTTTGTGGAATCAATCCATCCCATACTAGGTCTTCTTCTGCCTGCAATTCTCTCTAGCACCGTTGTATTTCCCTGTGAGTCTTGCCCTTGCACCATGTGTCCAAAGTATGACAGCTTCCGTTTTGTCATTTTTTGCCTCCAGGAAAAGGTTTGGCCTGACCCACTTATTCGTCTCTCTCTGTGTGTCAGTCCAGGGTATTTGCAAAACTTTCACCCAGCACCATGTTTCAAATGCATCGATTTCCCTCCAGTCAGCTTCTAGTTTTCTATATTGCTGATCATTTTTGTTTTATCTGAACCCGCTTCAGTGTGTTGGTGGCCTTCTGTATAGCAGCTCTCAGAACGAGACACCGTACTTCACCTAACGTCAGACTAGTTCAGACTAACCCTCCCATGACAGTCGACACCACCACACCCATTCCAAACACATTTCTTGCTGCTACTTTGAAATAGCAGTATGATGCAAAATCTTAAACTGAAGCTAGGGAAACAGAAAATGATTGTCATGTATAATGTTGATAACCTGTTCTGTTTTGTCATGCATGAATGTCCTCCCTCTTTATGCTCTCAATAACCCTGTGAGGTTTGTGGTGCTAAGGAACAGTCACTAGTCCATGTTCACGAGGAAGCAGATAATTTGAACCCTGTTATCAGTCTGAATCCGGCACTGTCGCTATCACACCACACTGTTAATGCCCCATGATAATGTAACAAATAGTTCTCTAGAAAGGAGATTTATTTCAGGGAATCCTATTTCGATGGATAATTAGACAAATGACACCTTGGTGCTGGAGGAATCTGGATCCACTTGTGCTTTTGTCCCTTCTGTTAAACCACTCTGCCTCTTTATCTCTGTGATTTAGTGAAATGTGCCTTTCAGCACTCCCGAATTGCCATTAAAGTATCCATTTAAAACACTCCAGAACCTTCATGCTGTGTCATTTTTATGGCTCTTGTAAGGCAATTTATTTGCTACAAATTACCCATTACCTGCAAATGCTCAGACATGCAGCTTTTAGGAAACACTTCAGAATTCTGCACAGGTAGCAGCAGCGGCTTGAAAGCCTGATCACCCTGGGGCAGCAGGCGGAGAATGAGAATGCCTGGACAGAAAAAGGAAGGTCACTTCATGTGTGCAATAGTGATGCACAGCTTTCTGCTGCCCTCGCAGTTATCTGGGTTGAGCAAGCATTGTGCCCAAAAGGCCCGGGCATTGGATGGAGGGGTGGGGAGCTTCTTCCTCACTCACCCAGAAAAGGAGCTTTTGAATATGCTCAGCTCAGGATAAGGACAGGACAACTAATTCAACTGATATTTTACAGTTTAAAATTCAGAATTTTAAATATTGCATTATTTTTACAATAAATGAAAGATTTAAAATGTAGACATGAAACAAAACACAATAATAGATGTCCCGGAGTTTGGATCGGCTACCCCTTCCCTTTTAATTTGTTCAGCAGAGCATGTCCATGCTCCAGAGGTTATCATGTGCAGCAGGGCCCTGAACTCAGGCAACTGGGCAGATAATCCTTCCTGCACCCCAAAGACCACTGGACAGTCAGCAGACAAGGAGATGCTGTCTGCAAACATTCTTTCCAGCACAATGGTGCTGAGCATCTCTCTTTGTCTTTCTCTCTGTAATCAGTGCAGGAGGAAGCACCCCAGGCTGCAGTCCCTGTTTCATGTGTGGACTCAATCCAGATGGCTGATCTACTCCTGGAATCAGCCTGATCAGAGATCAGCCTTCCTGGACCAGGGGCACTTACGATGAGTCATTCTGAGCATGTGGAATGGTCATTTCATTCTGCAGGCACAGCCTTCCATTGCTTAATACTGTTTTGTGCAGCATTCCAAAAGTTCACGCAGAGAGGAGCACTTCTGCCTGTGGGAGCTGCAGATGGGATTTCAACTAGAAGAACATCACTAAGATTGGCATGGCAGTATCCTGCTGCTTGCATACAATGTCCATCTTTGCTCTCTCTTGCTTGCTATGAAGAGCAAAACACTTGTGCAAGATCTGTAAAAAATGCTTATAGAATCACAAAGATAGAATCATGATTTGTCTCAGGATTTTGAACTGAATCCAAATATTGTTGCTGTTAAATTCATGCACATGGACAATTGGTATGGGATCCTCTGGCTGTGTCAAAGAAGCCTTAGGACTCAATGAATTGGTTGTTTTGACAGCTGACTAGACTACAGCCGTGTAAATTGAGGCAGCTGATTCTTAAAGACCTTGATAAACTGAGTCGATCTGTCAGATTCAATCTTACTGAGGTTCTCCTTCTGCCTCCAAGCTTATTCTGTTTAGTTCCCTGTGGTTTCTTTTTCCACACAGAAATACATACATATTTTATATGCATTTTCAAATATATGCATTATTCTACACATAAATTCTAAACACAGGAGCACTGCTTGTTTAGCCCCTCAGTAAGCCAGTGCTCTGGGTTGGGATGACATGTTTAAACCATGATTATCTGTGAGCCGTTCATAGGTTTTACTGCCAGGTAAGTAAGCATAAACAGTCTAATTGTACCAGAACCATTTCCATATGTATGTGGATGGAATTTCTACTCTCTTGGCAAATCAACAAATCCATAAATGACTACATTTTTAAAATATCTATAGTATGAGAAAAATGCACGCACAAATGGAAAGTAAGGATTCCCAAAAGACCAAACTGAAAACTCAGAATTTAGTGTGGTGATGTTTATTATTCCTTTGAGTTTGACTTTTAAAAAGGTACACAACTGCCAGATAAAAAGACATACTGAATAGAAAAAGGAATGTGCTGAAGGATTCAACAGAGACAGCCACTACGGAGGCACTTGAGAAAAAAGCCACAATTATATAAGGCACAATCAAATTATAACTTACAAAATCCATATCTCTGTACTGTAATATTAATTTTGTTTTACAAAACAGACAGACACAACCACTTGTACATGATCAAACAGGAAAAAACCCTACTTAGCTGCAGTTTAGGTCAGTGTATAGTTTATTTCATTAAAAAAAAACTTTTTAAAAACTATCACCCTACTTTGAAGATCTTGCTTTTATTTTCACTGGAACAGATCAGCACACATGAAAGCTTCAGGGAAAAACTGCTGAGGGGAACATTATGTTTGATCAATGGGTAAATTTACTTAGGGATGAGCGTAACCTACTTTTAATTATACCATTCAGACTGGCTCAGGCAATGGGCAGGTCTCCTGTGGATTAGCTTGTCCATTTTTATAAGTACACACTTTTATAGTATGTGAACTTCCTCTTTCTGAAAATCAAATATTTTTTCATCACTTTCCAGAATGGATTTTAATTTTTAGAAGCCTGCTTCAGGACATAGTTCTGATATTGACGTCATCTTCTAGGCCAGTACTCCTTTAGCAGTGTAGCACACACAAATTGCTCCTAGCTAGTTTCAGCTGCATAAATTGTGGGCCATGGCAAAACAGCCTGAACTCAGGAGATTGACGATGGAGAATGGAACCTTCCAGAATATAAATCAGCTAGAGAAGGATGGACCTTCTAGGGATGGGAAAGCAAGCAAAGCTCAAACTGCTGCTCAGAGTCCACCTTGTCCCTGTTCCTGATTGTTTCAGTGGGTAATGTATGTATTTAGACGCTTGTTTTTAAAGTGTGAACGCCAATGCATGTGTTCCCCCATTGAGTAAAGTGCAAGAATGCAATATGCCCAAAATGGGCTTTTTAAAAGAGCCCATTTCTGCGGTATGCATTTTTGTGAATGTAGTCACAAACTTGAGAATGCCCCAAAAAGGCATGTGCACATATGAGTGCAAATGAGGCAACCCTGAATGAGCCGAACATCCCCAGAACCTCCCTTTTATCATGGCTGGGCCCTGACGCAGCTGCTGAGCTTGGAGGGTTTTGCTGAGAAGGAGACCACCATGCATTTGGGCAGGCCAGACAGGTCACCCTGTTTAATTTCCATGTGTATGTGTTGTGTGGCCAGAGG